TTAACGGCAGTATTTGAGGTGGCGTCTATGCAGGTACTATAAACTGGCTGTTGCTAACAGGATCTAACGCTTCAGGACATAAACAACAGCAGATTACATCCGACCCCTCTCATCCTGGACATCACCTTTCCGGTCACTTCTCTAAAGGCCAACAAAGCCAACAAAATTAGTCATGATTACAGTTTACTGCCCACAGCTGTAACGCTCACCAGGGGTGCCATATGGGAGGGATAAGTTAGGACAATTCTGTGACTCAGAGAGACTTATTATTAGAACAATAGGTATATCATGAAAGCGTTCTTCAGATTGATGAAGAATCGGCTGTATATGGTTCTACATAGAACCCTTTTCAAAAAAGCTTCTATGCAGCACCACATACAACACATTCTCCATCAAGCTGAAGAACGCTTTCACGATGCAAAGAACCCTTTAATCATGCAAAGGGTTCTTTGAGTGTTCATGGTTCTATGTAGAACCATTTTCTTTGCTAAAGAGCCCTTGAAGAACCATTTTAAGAGTGCAAAAAAAAAGTGTACCATAAGGTACGTGTCATGTTCACACCACTGAAACAAGCTATTCAACATTCAGCAAAAAACAAGCAGGACCTTTTATAAAGATCCCAAAAAGGGTTCTTTGGACTGACGCCACAGAAGAACCACCTTCTTTTTTTAAAGACCTTTTCTTTAAAGGATCGTTATTGTAAATAAAATATGTGAGTGTAAAGAACCTTTTCAAAGTGTAAGAACCTCCACATAATGTAAAGGTTCTCTACCAATGAATGTCTTTTTTCTAGAACTGTACGCCCAGGCCGAGAACCGCTGATGAGCTTTTGTTCTTAAGAGTGCAGACGAGGCACTGGCCACTGTACCGGCTGAGAAGGACATCATTCTTAGTGAAGTGGCAATCTGTGTGTGTGACTAAGCTCCATGTGTGGCTGCCCACATGAAACACTGGCACCAGCTGACGCCACCAAGGACTGGCACTGGGCACTGGGGCAGGAAGAGTGGGCCACAAAAAACCCACCATAACCCCAACATTTGTGCCAGCTGAGATTTTGGCAAAGTGTAAAAGTACCATATCGCTGTTGTCAGAGGAAAACCTCGTATCTCCAAAATGGTAACTTTACAGGAGAAGCAAAAAACATACTTTACTTTTAATGTAAGTCAATGGAACCAGACTTTTTTCCAAGTAATTTTGGGTCATTTCTTTTGGTCCATTCATCATGAAATTTACATACAACGTAAAGGACAACAGGTATTGTCAAATTATGTCAAAAACTGAAAAACGGAGATACAAGGTTTTCTTCTGACAAAAGCGATATAGTATATTTTCAAAAGTATCCATTCTAATTAGTGAATTCAGCTACTGTAATGTGCACAAATTACTGATACCGGCATACAATTCACACACAGCTTGTATCATCTCCATTGAAAAGCACTGCTCTGGAGCAGCCGCACATGGGCCAAAGATCACCATGAACAATGCCAAGTGTCGGCTAGAGGGGTGTAAAGCCCCCCAGCATTGGGCTTTGCAGCAGCAAGGCATTCTCTGGAGCGATGGAGCTCTATCCAATACCTTTGGGATGAGCTGAAGTGCAGAAGTAACTATCCAACATCAATACTTGACCTCACTGACCTCATGCTCTTGTGGCTGAAGGCAATCAAATCCTTACAGCAATGTTCCAACATCAAGTGTAAACCCTTACTACAGCAAAGAGAGACAAACTACCAATTAAAGAAGAATTCCATCAATGTTTCATGACAAAATTCAGATGTAAACACAGGTATTTGGAGTTTTTTGTTGTGCAATAGCTGCATTTCAAATCCGAGGCTGCAGCCGAGGTAGGGCGGGTCCTCGGTAGGACTGTCCTATGAAGACTCCTCCTTGGTAGCCTATTGGTCACACAAACGTCCTAACGAGGCTGCGTGGTGGCGCCACCAGAGCGGCGCCAAACTCCTGAAGGAACCGGTGAGAGAAAATGGAGCCTCTGCATTGAGTTTGTTGCTTTTTCGTTTCTTCACAGAAATGAAGGAGATGATCTTATGTAGTACGATAAACTACATACACAAATACTTCTAAATAAAATATGATATATGGACGAATTATTTAATTAATCAGTCACTTTACACTTTATAAGGTAACGAAGACGAATTCAAGGACGTGAACAGCTTACATTTTAAAACGAGTTCTGCTCCAACAGCTTCGTTTTCCATCATTTTCACAGTGCTGCTTTTTTTTCCTTTGTGTTGTTTGTGCACAGAGAACTGTGGGTAACTGAAGGCCTGGGAGTAGAGGTCTGCACTATCGCGGACTCCTGCGGGACCCGACACAATTACTTGAGGCGCGGGACTAATTTTCAGTGTTGCTTGCGGGAGCGGGTGGAAATCCGACCCCTTCAGGCGGGAGCGGGCGGGAGAACGCATATAGAGAAATCCCGCGAATTAATGAATAGCCTAAATAAAATAGAACGATTGCAAAATCATATGTAAACAATATAACAGTACAACAGTTCAAATGAATTAAGTCGTTCTCGAGCAACCGATCACGTGAACCAGACACAAATTCTCATGGGCCTGATTCACATATACGTGTCTGAGTGGTGTGAGCGTCGCGGAAAGTCCAGCTTTTCATTTCGGTGCCCGTGTTAAGTGGTCAGCGCTTTCAAACAGGCGGTACGTGCAAAGCGGCAGAGTCCTAGGTGCCGCACTGAAGCGCAGCGGGGTTCATGAATAGACCGCGCACGTCACACAGCAAAATATACCAAATTAATCCATGAAAATCAATAGAAATTAAACAAAAGAATGTATAAAAACTTAAAGGCGTTTTTTTTATGTAATTCATGATAAAATACTAGTTAAACATTCCGTGCTGCAGACAGATTTCCCGGTTGGTCTACCAGGCTTGAGACTTTTTCCTAAACGGAAGTCAGAAAGTGTTGAGGATAAACAAACATACCGTGTACATTTATAAATGATATTTTTGTTGATCAGAGTGACTGAAGTGACCATTTATCTGTCTGGAAACAGGAATGTCTGTCTAAGTTTCTCGCTGCTCTGCTCCTCAAGTGCTGTATGTATGAAAGGCCAGCGTGTTCCAGCTGTAGTGTTAACGTTGCCACAGATGCAGCACGTGTGAATCAGGCGTTAGAGAGAGGGCGGAGCCTTCAGTCCGACGGCCACAGCTGCCCAGCAAAACACTAAAAATAACCGCTCTGTAGTTTAATCCCTGCTCTGTGTTTAAATGGTGAATAAATGAGCCTGATGACCATGACCAGTGGATGTGCGCGGGTGGTAGCGGGAAAAATCGTTTCGGTTGCGGGCGGGAGCGGGACTGAAAAAGTCATCTGGTTCCTATCACCACCACTGTGAATGATTCTGACACGGTTCAAGTTTCATACCAAACCACTCTCAATGACTGTTTACATGTAGACCATTTCATTGTAAAGATTTTTTTAAATAATATTTTTAAATAATTTAAAATTTTCAAAAATTGGTGGAATTCCCCTTTGACACCCTTGACTTCAGAAAAGACACGCTGGATGAGAATGCGTCCACAAACCTCTGGACATGTGGCGCACAATCTTGAAAAAGAAGATGGTTCTTCAAGGGTTCTTTAGTAAGACAATGGTTCTATATAGAGCCAGGAACACTCAAAGAACCACCTGCATGCTTAAATGGTTCTTTACATGGTGAAATCGTTCTTCAGATGATGGAGACAGTAGTAGTAGTTCTTTGAGTGTTCATGGTTCTATAAAGAATCACTGTCTTCACTGCAGAACCCTTGAAGAACCACCTTTTTTACAGAATGTAGTTCTTTGACTGTGCATGGTTCTATAAAGAACCATTGTCTTCACTGCAGAACCCTTGAAGAACCACCTTGTTTACAGAATGTAGTTCTTTGAGTGTTCATGGTTCTATAAAGAACCACTGTCTTCACTGCAGAACCCTTGAAGAACCACCTTGTTTACAGAATGTAGTTCTTTGAGTGTTCATGGTTCTATAAAGAACCACTGTCTTTACTGAAGAACCCCTGAGAAGCTACCTTTATCCAATAATGTGGTTCTTTGAGTGTTCATGGTTCTATAAAGAACCACTGTCTTCACTGCAGAACCCTTGAAGAACCACCTTTTTTACAGAATGTAGTTCTCTGAGTGTTCATGGTTCTATAAAGAACCACTGTCTTCACTGCTGCAGAACCCTCGAAGAACATTTTTTTTTTTAAGAATGTAGTTCTTGGAGTGTTCATGGCCCTATACAGAACCACTGTCTCTGCTAAAGAACCCTTGAAGAACCATCCTTTTTTTAAGATTGAGGCGAAATGCTTGTCATTAGCGTCAACCATGGCCAGTGCATACTTAACGTGGATGAGGTTCCCATTGTTAATAACACTGTTAATAACACTGTTAATAACACTATGCTGTCACTAAAGCTGGCTATTGTGCTTCCTCTGGTTCAGGACAGACGACCAGCCCGCTTTACCTCCTCCTCTCACTTAATGTCCTACTTGGAGAGGCTCTTTAGACAAAGCGCTCAAAGGGGAACAGTAGGCAGGTGCTGAGGCTCTGATCTGCCTGCCTCAGCACATTGTGAGTGTTTGGAGACACAGAGCTTCAGTAATTCACACGAGCAGGAGAACAACTAGGACTAACACTAAGAACAACAACAACAACAACAACAACAACAACAACAACAACAACAACAATAACACATTTAATTCATTTAACGTCAATAATACATCGCTGACAGATTCATCCAGACCAGCACATCACCAGTGTAAACAGCAGCCAAGTTAGTGCCATCAACTTTAATGCAGTTCAGCGAGGAGACCGTCATTCATAAACCAAACTGAACCAAAAAAGCCAAAAAGTTATTTACCTTTCAGAATCTACTGCATATTTAGAGTATTAACTCGTATCCAGACTCGGTAAAGCTCGCAAGGAGTCGTTTGTGCGGCTGTAGGTAAAGAAAACGTACTGAAATAGTGAGAAACGCGCTGCTTACCCGTAGCGCGGATCCGCCGGTCGTTGTCTGAGATGCTGAACTGAACTGAAGGAGCTGGAAGCGCGTGCCCGACAGCGCGTCATACAGAGCGCGTCCCCGACACCCGTAGCTGGGAGATTCGATTCAGTGTGGGAATCGACTCACGGCTTGGGGTTGAAGATTCAGAGTGTGTCGACTCACTTCGGCTCCGTGTGGTTGGTGCTTCTGACTCGCTCTCGTGGCACCTTCGCGGTTCACGAACTGAATCGGCTGTTTGGTCCTGCTAACGTCTTTCTGGGCTGCACATCTGGTTTATTTTGGCTGTCGATATTGCTTTGATCTAAGGCTTTGATTACAGAAAGGAGTGAGTGCGCGTCGAAGTTTGATTCCGCGTGTGTCGGTTCAGAGTCGACACTCGAGTTCGATTCAGATTCTTTCGCCTATTAAAAGCCTCTTCTACACGACTCTGCAGATTGGTCAGTAGAGCACAGTGATTCACGTATTTTTCACACCACTATAGGCGGCTGGATAGCACATTTGAAGGGCAGTTCCACCAAATTTTCACATTTTCTGCATAATTAAATCCAAATGAATCAGAGCCACTCAGAGTGGTCTGAAGTGAGATGTAGCGTGCTGGAGAAACTTACCACGTCAGAATACCTCACAGTGGGGGTGACGGGAACCAGACCCTTTTCCTGGTAGCATATCAATTCATGACATTTCCCCTACTACTCTGTAACATAATGTGAGGAATATACCACCTATTTTCTACAAACCCCAATTCTGGAAAAGTTGGGACTTTTTATAAAATGCAAGAAAAACAAGTAACTGTGATTTGTTAAAGTTCTTGAGCTGATAGTTTATTTAACTGAGAAATACAAAGAAAAGATTTTCAATGCTTTCACTGACCAACTTATTGCATTTTTTCTTAGATATAAACAAATTCAGAATTTGATGCCTGCAACACACTAAAAAAAGCTGGGACAGAGGCATGTTTACCCCACGTTACATAGCCTTTTCATTTTAATTACACTTTTTAATCATTTGGGACCTGAATATCTTAATTGTTTCATTTTTTCATGATTCATAACTTCTGCTGTTTAACAGTCCATGGTCGTCGTTATCTGATTCGCCTCTTCATGATGTGTCACACATGTTCAATAGCAGACTGTTCTAGATTGCATACAGGCTAGTAAATACCCACACTCTGGGTTCCCGGTAAAATGCTGCGGCTTGATGGCAGCATATGTCTCTCCAAAATCCCAAAATATATTCCCGCATTAATGGTACCTTCACACATATGCAAGTCACCCCTGCCGTGAGCACTGATGCACCGCCATGCCATGACAGATGCTGGATTTTGCATCCAGATGAAAGTCTGATGGTCCTTTTTGTCTTTGGCACAGAAAATGGAGTTTGTTTTTCCCCCAAAAATAAATTAAAATGTGGACTCATCTGACCACAGAACACATTTCCACTGCCTTTTGGACCATCTGAGACGAGCTTGGGCCCAGAGAACTCGGCAGCGTTTCTGCATGGAACTGATATATGGCCTTCTTCTTGCATAATAAAGTTTCAAGTTGCATTTATTGATGCAGCAGCAGACTGTGTTAAGTGACAACAGTTTTCCCGAGCCCACGTGGCAATATTTAACACAGTAGCATGACAGTTTCTCACGCAATGCTGTCTGAGGGCTCGAAGATCACACACATTCAACAGAGGCTTCCGGCCTCGCCCTACATGACCTGAGATTTCTCCAGATTCCGTAAATCATTTCAAGATATTATGTATGGTAGAGTCCAAAGACCTAAATTCTTTGAAACTCTCGAATTGAAAAATGACTCTCACAAAGTTTGGCACAAAGTAGTGAGCCACGACCCATCTTTGCTTTGAAAGACTGAGCCTTTGGTAGACACTCCTTTTATACACAATCATGATCCCCTCACCTCTTAAAAACCGACCTGCTTCTTGTAGGAAGCTTCAAAATGGTGTAAATTGAATATTCTATGAACTTCTCACTCTTATTTTGCTCCTTTCCCAGCTCCATTGAGCGCGTTTCAGGCATCGATTTCAAAATTTTATATTGACAAAATAAAATCTACTTGGACAACCTAAAAATTAAGTCATTTCTTTGTAAACTTGTCATTAAATAAAGGTTCAAGAGAAACAACAAATCACAGATTCTTGTTTTAACTGCATTAAAAATAATTTCCTAACTTTTCTGGAAATGACGGACGTCCGGAGAGGCCATGAGCCATGCTTTAATTTTCTGGATTGTTATTTTATTACCTTGAGATAACAAGATAAGTAACTTGATATTTCAAGATAATGTTATTATCTTGAGAAGATAAACAACTCATTATCTCAACATAACTTTGTTATCTTGAGATAATAACATAAGTAACTTGTTATTTAAAGACAATTTTGTTATATTGAGAACAATATAAGTAGCTTGTTATTTCATGATAATAATTTTATCTTGATATAACAAGATAAGCAACTTGTTAGTTCAAGATAATTT